GAGGCCCTGCATTGTGGTGGTGTCTGTGCTCCAAATGGCGGTCAGAGTTCAAAGGGGATGAGGTTTGGCTTTGTTAAAACCTAAAGGTCATTTCAATAAAATAGTCGCTCAATATATTTATTTATCAAGTGAGAATAATTCAATTTAATTCCCTGTTTAAATATTCTACAGTGTCATAAAGTCCTGAAATATTTCTGCAACCTGTCATTCGTATTTCTAAAACCCCTTGCACTCTCATTATTCAATGCCAAACTTTGGACAGCTTTTGGCCAGAAAGTCAGAGAGCGTTGGCCAAATTGAAGCATTAATATTTGGATTGTTCGGAATTTTGTTTTATGTCGGTCAGGCCCTCGACTTTCCCCCATTTCGCACCCATCCATTTCAATTTCGTTTCAATTCTTTCATGACGGCCATTCAGAATTCTTTTTTTTTTTGTCTGGCAGTTCGTTCAACTTGGCGACGACAGCGCCACAAATATTTCATTGCGGCATTTGCATTTTTTAGGGGGCATTATTATGGGGTCATCTTTACCCTCCTACCCTTCCACCCCAGCGACATTAATTTCCCGGGAAAACCGAAAAGTTTGAGTGTGATTGGGGAAAGTGCATCATTACTCGGAAATCGGAATCGCAGGCGGAATCATTATTCATTCGCCGCCAATCTGCAGCAAAATTGCAAAATTGGCTGGCTGAAGATGAAAGCGAGCTGCCAAAAAATACAAAAAATAATTATTTGTGACGGTTGGCAAAAGTGTAGAAAAATATATGTGCACCGTGGGAAAATGTGGAGATTTTAAAGAACTATATTCGATACATGGTGTCTTATAATATTGATAATAATAATGATATTGCATTGTCAATAATCATCATTATAATTCATATTTTTAAATTACCCAGAAATAATTTTTTTTAGCTACAAATTTGTTCCTCTCTGTGAAAGCAAATAAGAAAGAAAAATCGAGCAAGGCCTTTAAGAGCTTCCCTTGGCACCAGTGTTTTTCACACACCCCCAATCCCCCACAATTTTCCCGCCCCTTTTCCCCAAGTACTTGCAAATTTTTCAATTCTGTCTGCCTTTTGTCTGTATTTGCTGCACTTTGTTGCTTTTTTGTTGGCTTTTGTTCTATATAGTTGGCAGCTGATTAATTGGCTCGCCTCTCGGTGCCACGCCCCTTTCTGACCCTGCCCCCGATTTTGATTCCGATCGAGAGTGCCCACTTCGCATTATGCCCACCCGTTTAATAATTTAATTCGGTAAAAATAGTTGGATGAACTCTCGGCGTTGAAAATTATGCCACCTCTAATTGGCATGGCGAAAAGTGAAAAACTGCAAATAGTCCAAACGGCAAAATGTTTGCTGTGAAAATCGAAGCACGATGCCATTAAAATTTCACTATTTGAGATTTCACCTGTTGGCCTTTTGCTGATTAATGATTAATAGCAATCCCTGATTGCTGCACTTATCTGTTTGAGTTATTAAGTTCCGTTCCGATAATAAAGGGGACTTAAATGCGTCTGGTTTTACTCATTAAGCCAGAGAAATATAATTTTTTTGATTAATCACATCTATGTAAATTGTACATATTATAAATATAATACAACTTCCTAAACGTGATTTGCTCAAAACAGTCGGTCCTATAGCTGTACGCCTTGATTTGGCTAAACTACGACTGAAAAACCACTAAAAAATTAGTATTTTTGACCAAAATCTGAATCCCAAAAATAACCGATGTACCCCCTTACAAAAAATGAGAAATTGGGTCAAAAAAAAAATGTTCCTAAAAGTGATAGGAATTGATAGCATTTGTAGCAAGCTGCTGAAAACAGTCGGTCTTTTAGCTGTACGCCTTGATTTGGCTAAACTACGACTGAAAAACCACTAAAAAATGAGAATTTTTGACCAAAATCTGAATCCCAAAAATAACCGATGTACCCCCTTACAAAAAATGAGAAATTGGGTCAAAAAAAAAATGTTCCTAAAAGTGATAGGAATTGATAGCATTTGTAGCAAGCTGCTGAAAACAGTCGGTCTTTTAGCTGTACGCCTTGATTTGGCTAAACTACGACTGAAAAACCACTAAAAAATGAGAATTTTTGACCAAAATCTGAATCCCAAAAATAAACGATGTACCCCCTTACAAAAAATGAGAAATTGGGTCAAAAAATAAATGTTCCTAAAAGTGATAGGAATTGATAGCATTTGTAGCAAGCTGCTGAAAACAGTCGGTCTTCTAGCTGTACGCCTTGATTTGGACTAAAAAATGAGTATTTTTTACCAAAATCTGAATCCCAAAAATAACCGATGTACCCCCTTACAAAAAATGAGAAATCGGGTCAAAAAATAAATGTTCCTTAAAGTGATAGGAATTGATAGCATTTGTAGAAAGCTGCTGAAAACAGTCGGTCTTTTAGCTGTACGCCTTGATTTGGCTAAACTACGACTGAAAAACCACTAAAAAATGAGAATTTTTGACTAAAATCTGAATCCCAAAAATAACCGATGTACCCCCTTACAAAAAATGAGAAATTGGGTCAAAAAATAAATGTTATTTAAAGTGATGGGTTTCGATAGCATTTGTAGCAAGCTGCTCAAAACAGTCGGTCTTTTAGCTGTACGCCTTGATTTGGCTAAACTACGACTGAAAAACCACTAAAAAATGAGAATTTTTGACCAAAATCTGAATCCCTAAAATAACCGATGTACCCCCTTACAAAAAATGAGAAATTGGGTCAAAAAATAAATGTTCTTTAAAGTGATAGGAATTGATAGCATTTGTAGAAAGCTGCTCAAAACAGTCGGTCTTCTAGCTGTACGCCTTGATTTGGACTAAAAAATGAGTATTTTTTACCAAAATCTGAATCCCAAAAATAACCGATGTACCCCCTTACAAAAAATGAGAAATCGGGTCAAAAAATAAATGTTCCTTAAAGTGATAGGAATTGATAGGATTTGTAGAAAGCTGCTCAAAACAGTCGGTCTTTTAGCTGTACGCCTTGATTTGGCTAAACTACGACTGAAAAACCACTAAAAAATGAGAATTTTTGACCAAAATCTGAATCCCTAAAATAACCGATGTACCCCCTTACAAAAAATGAGAAATTGGGTCAAAAAATAAATGTTCTTTAAAGTGATAGGAATTGATAGCATTTGTAGAAAGCTGCTCAAAACAGTCGGTCTTCTAGCTGTACGCCTTGATTTGGCTAAACTACTACTGAAAAACCACTAAAAAATGAGAATTTTTGACCAAAATCTGAATCCCAAAAATAACCGATGTACCCCCTTACAAAAAATGAGAAATTGGGTCAAAAAATAAATGTTCCTTAAAGTGATAGGAATTGATAGGATTTGTAGAAAGCTGCTCAAAACAGTCGGTATTGTAGCTGTACGCCTTGATTTGGCTAAACTACGACTGAAAAACCACTAAAAAATGAGTATTTTTGACCAAAATCTGAATCCCAAAAATAACCTTACCCTTACAAAAAATGAGAAATTGGGTCAAAAAATAAATGTTCCTAAAAGTGATAGGAATTTATAGCATTTGTAGAAAGCTGCTGAAAACAGTCGGTCTTTTAGCTGTATGCCTTGATTTGGCTAAACTACGACTGAAAAACCACTAAAAAATTAGTGTTTTTGACCAAAATCTGAATCCCAAAAATAACCGATGAACCCCCTTACAAAAAATGAGAAATTGGGTCAAAAAATAAATGTTCCTTAAAGTGATAGAAATTGATAGCATTTGTAGCAAGCTGCTGAAAACAGTCGGTCTTTTAGCTGTACGCCTTGATTTGGCTAAACTACGACTGAAAAACCACTAAAAAATGAGAATTTTTGACCAAAATCTGAATCCCAAAAATAACCGATGTACCCCCTTACAAAAAATGAGAAATTCGGTCAAAAAATAAATGTTCCTTAAAGTGATAGGAATTGATAGCATTTGTAGAATGCTGCTCAAAACAGTCGGTCTTTTAGCTGTACGCCTTGATTTGGCTAAACTACGACTGAAAAACCACTACAAAATTAGTATTTTTGACCAAAATCTGAATCCCTAAAATAACCGATGTACCCCCTTACAAAAAATGAGAAATCGGGTCAAAAAATAAATGTTCCTTAAAGTGATAGAAATTGATAGCATTTGTAGAAAGCTGCTCAAAACAGTCGGTCTTTTAGCTGTACGCCTTGATTTGGCTAAACTACGACTGAAAAACCACTACAAAATTAGTATTTTTGACCAAAATCTGAATCCCAAAAATAACCGATGTACCCCCTTACAAAAAATGAGAAATTCGGTCAAAAAATAAATGTTCCTTAAAGTGATAGGAAATGATAGCATTTGTAGAAAGCTGCTCAAAACAGTCGGTCTTTTAGCTGTACGCCTTGATTTGGCTAAACTACGACTGAAAAACCACTAAAAAATGAGAATTTTTGACCAAAATCTAAATCCCAAAAATAACCGATGTACCCCCTTACAAAAAATGAGAAAATGGGTCAAAAAATATATGTTCCTTAAAGTGATAGGAATCGGTAGCATTTGTAGAAAGCTGCTCAAAACAGTCGGTCTTTTAGTTGTACGCCCTGATCTGGCTAAACTATGACTTTAAAACCACTTAAAAATGAGTATTTTTGACCAAAATATGAATCCCAAAAATAACTGATGTACTCCCTTATAAAAAATGAAAAATTTGGTCAAAAAATAAATTTCCCCAAATGTGATGGGGATAGTTAGCATATGTTACAAGCTGCTCGAAACAAACGATCTTATTTTGGACAAGCTTAATAGTGGTCGATATATTACTAAATCGGTCTTCTGAAAAAGTTCAAATATATGTAACAAACTCGCCCAAGACGTGGGTCGACCCTCTTATTCAATCAAATTTTTAATAGTACAGAAAAAAAGAATTTTTTTATATGTGTTTCATTTCGAATTTTATTCAGGACCTAAGGCTTACGAGCTATCACAATATTGGCTATATAAAATGGGTATATCTTATAAAAAAAACATCCTAGATCTTCACCAGTCGTTCGCGGCGCTGGGCAAAGTGAAAGCCGCCGTAGTACTCCTCCAGATCGCGAAGATCACGCTGGAACTGGGCATCGACCTTGGCCAGGTCGGCCTTCTGGCGGGCGGAAGGGCGTCGCACGGGGGCGTGGCTGCGCAGGCTCAGACGGCGACGGATCTTCTGGCCACCGACCATGTCGTAGAGTGGGGATTCCGGCAGAGCGGACTCCTCGGGAAGCAGGCATCTCTTGGGATCCGTGTGGGAGGGGAATCCGCGGGGCGTGGTCTGTCCAGTAAATGCCTCACTGATGTCGTGGAGTCGCTGCTGCTTTTGGGCCAAGTGCTCGAAACTGCACTTCCACTGGGCATAGCGACGATCGGCTAGAGTGGATCCGGACTTCTTACTGGGCGTCAGCAGGGTGCCGCAGGATCCGAAGGACGAGCAGCGGGGCATGGGCCGAAGGATTTGCTTGGGCCGTTTGCTCAGTCGCTTTTGCTTCCTGGCCGAAATGCTCAATTTGCGGAGCAGGATTTTCTGGATTTTGTTTATGAAACCGGGAAGGGGAGTGCAGAAAATACCAGGACTTGCCGGGCTGGTCGAGTCCTCTCCGCTCTTCACATTTTCAGCGGAATGAGTGCTGCCCATTTTTCAAAAACTTAGGTTTTTATAAAATTCAAATGTGATGGTCACTCTTTGCGAATCGTTTGGTGTAATGGGCACACTTTGTATCTTTGATTTGCTGTTATGTCTTGCTTGAATGTTTTGTAATACTCGTTGAAATATCTTCTTTCAAACACGATGTTTTCGCTGTAACTGTTGTTGGACAACTGATGCTGATTGCCACTGGGCGGCAGGCATATATACCCTAAAATCTGGGATCAGGTACCTGGTGTACCTAATAGGGATCAGGTCTTATTCGCAACCCGCGCGACCTTCATAAAATTCTGACCCCTAACCCTGACCATAATCCCCTTGTTTTGCATAGTTTTATGAGGCAACATTTGGCCGCGATTTCGGGGTTTTGCAACCGTCGCGATTCTTTTTTATTGCCCCTGCAATCCTTGCACGTGCAAGGGGGCTTGGGTCGAGGGTCGACAAATAGGGACGAGGTTGGCCAGCAGGCAGAGGGCATTTAATGACCTGTCATTTGCTGTCGCCTGCTGCTCGCTGGCCAGGATATCCAACATCCTCGAGACATAATTGCTCGCTGTAGTGGGTGGCTGCACTTCTGCGGGCAAGAATCCCAGAAGGGGGGCGGTGGTACAGCCACTTAAGACTCGGCTGTCATCGCAGGGGGAAATTCTTAATGAATTGCAGCAAAGCCATAAACGAAGCACAAGACAGTAAGGAAAAACTTGCCTAGTTAAATACAATATTCATAAAAATAAGAAAATTGGGAAACGAAATACATATAAATGCCAGTGGGACCAGCTCTTTTCTACCAAGCAAGCCATATTATTTTTATAAAGAACCAACCTGTTTTGTACCAGTCTGCTTACATGCTTAAAGGAACTTCAACATGGTTTCTCTCTGTGTAGATGGGGGTCTGGTGGAAATCAGGAATTGGATGGCGGAGGGTCCGGGTTCGTGGTTCGAGCTGCGAGCTGCGAGCTTCGAGGTCCATGGTTAAGCATCCTGGCAGAATGCTCGCTTTGTGTGTCAATCAGTCTTTGCATGTCAGTAGAGCCTTCATCAATTCTTCCTCTGCCTTTGTCTTTGTGTGGGTGTGCGAGTGTGTGTAAGTGAGTGTGTGTGCGTGCCTGCGAGTGTATAAGTAATTGCGTGGGCGAGGACATAAGCTGCTTTGCCATTATTATAAGTAGACATATGTACAGTGGGAACTGCGTAAAAGCAAGCCGGAGAAAATAATGAAGCTCAATTAAAGTGCACAAATACACTGAGAGAAATGGCAACAAGCAATTGGAAATGAAATATGAAAATGCTATGACTGTGAATCAAATATGCGTAAATTAAAATATAAGAAAAACTATTTAATATATGATTATACTTGACTTTTACCTATCTAAAAACACCGACATTTTCTCGCTCTGGATAAAATCCCATTTCGTAGCCCCGAGTACTCGTATTTCCCATTAATTGGGTTTGTTGTGGAAACCCCCAATGACCCTGAATTCCCGCTCATATCCACTTATTTGCAGCTTTCGATGCAGCCTCTAATTGCATTAAAATCGAAACACAAAATACCTTCTCTTGTTCGCTGTTTTCCTCTGGAAAATTCGAGGCCAAAGGACGAAGGTCAACGTAGGTTGAAGGGGTGCGGCTTGTGGTCCAGTTCGGTAGTGTCCATTTTCCGCTTTTTCCATTCTTTAGGGGCAAAGCAAACCAAAAACCTAAAATTCATTTGAAAATTCCAGGCAGTAGTAAAATAAATGGGTTTTTTGGGGGGTTGTAGACTACCCATTTCCTCTACATAATTCCACAAAGAAAATATTAAATACTAAATGAATGTTAAAGTATTACAAAATTCAGGAAAAGAATTCTAAAGGAACTTAAAAAATAAGTTAAAATATGTTTATAAGTAATTTAGAACTATTAGAGAGCTAACAATTTTGTGTTTCTTTTTCGATGCTTTAAGCTTCATTCAAGCTAATATAGTAAAATACTATATATTTATAATATAATCTGTAATTTTAATTGATAAATTCCTTAAAGAGCATCTCTCTGAATCCATTCCCTGTGAGCCAAAAGGATGTAGAGAGCATTTCATTGTCAGCTGCAGTTAGAATGGAAATCTACGGGGGTCAGGTGGACAGATATTTGCGGCTTTTGGAGTTCCAAGTGGGCCGCCTGACAGGATTCAGCTTTCAGAGAAATTCCAGAGGAACAAAGGTCCCATAGATTCCACTCCTCTCTGGGCGTTTGTCCAGAAAATTCCATTTAATTGCAGTCATTTGTTAAATGCCAAATAAAAAGGGGATACCAATTATTATTATTGCAGCAGATACATTTGCATATGGGCATATTTGAATAACTGCCGCCACAGTTCGTTTAATTGCACATTTTGCGGCTGGCAATTAATTAGTGCTTCTTCCCCCACAAATTACATATTTTATTGATTCGCAGTTTTCAGTGTCAATGTCAAAGGCCAGTGACAAATTGAATTTTTATTTTTTAATTAAATCGAGCTATCCGCGTTTTCCCACTTTCGGATTTTCCATGGCTCACGCAATTGAATTCAATGCAATTCCTACCTGGCAGCGTTTTTAAAAGGCTTTTACGACCTGACCAACACGTCTGTATATCATAAAAAAGACAAAATACAGAAAATAAAAAAGTAAATGGAAAATGGCATAAAAATCGTTTTTTATTTAACCCTTTCAGGGGCATAAAAAATGCATCTGGGAATATTCCCCTAGCTCTTTCTATTTGCTCTCATTTTCTTTTCTCCACCCGATGTGTGTATTCCCCCATGCAAATCAACCCTTTTCCTTTGCCACTGCACATTCCGAAGGACAAAGGCGTTTTTATCCTGTAAATATTTTCCTGTGTGTCACGCGTAGAGGTGTCATTCGAATTCCCCGAGGATAGAGGGAAAATATATGGACAGAGGGTCGGGTGAAATAGAAAATGCCAATAAAGGGCAGTCCCCAAGCTGACAAAGCGAATTTGGCAAAAGTTTGCCATTCAAAATTAAGATAAAATGGCTCGAATCAAAGGTGAACTTTCGCCAGGTGGGAGTGTACAACTTATTGGGTCCTTTATCAAAAGCGTGGTTCTACTTTTAATTTTTGTCAAGGAGATATTCCAACATGAAGATAAAGCTTGAACTAACAGGGACTTATTGATTTGGAAATGCAATTCCTAGTATTATTATAATCTAAAGCTTATAGGTAAAACTGTAAGATATCATACGGTTTTACAAAATGCTATCTTCAATTGTCGAAATAATAGGAAAATGCAACAATTGAGGGATAACTAGTGCTAAATCCTTTAACATCATTTTCTATTTCCATTTCCATTTCCTATTTAATCAATGTCTCCACAAGTAAGCCCCTTAGCAGACCACAAAATCAATCCTTTTCGATCGCCCCTGCCCCCAAGTAGATTACAAAGTTTACACAAGCCAAGTGTAAGCCAAAGTTAATAACACTTATATACTCAATCACCCACACACTCCCAACACCATCGCCCAGTTAACTTTGTCTTCTGTAATTTGTTGGGCCACAGAAAGCCATTTGGGATGACCACAAATCTCGGCAGAGCGAAACGCGGAAGAGGAAGAAAATCCATATAGAGTCAAGAGGATAAGGGCAAGGACACTGTGCGTGAGGGTTAAGGACAAATCAGGCATCAATAGCAATCAATCAATTTGCGGGCAAACAAACAAATTGACCAAAAAAGAATGCGAGCCAACCAAACACAGTCACTGACAAAAGTTAACAGCATCTAATGTGATTTTGACACACTCCCCACACGAAAATATGGATGGGTCTTTTGTTTACAATTTTTGCGCTGGCCCCCTAATTTTCCACCCAATACCATCGTCCCTTTTCAGCTGTTGGGGAAACTAACCATTCCCGTTTGTTACAAATGAGGGATACCCTTTAGTTATTGCGGGAGAATTGATAGAAATAAAATATCCTAAATGATAATGTTATATAATATTATTAAAGTAACTTAGTATATAGTACAATATATTCTTATTGCAACCAGAAATCGATTACAAATATGTTTAATCCCTATGTTTCTTTTGTACATTTCCCGAAATGACCCCTTTGCTAACTTATACTTTCAATAATTTAATGGGTATCATGGGCATCACCTATCCTACTTCAAACTAACATTTCCCTTACTTTTCATAATTGAGTTTGTTTAAGCACAAAAATAAAAGGGAGACGGAAAATGTATTTTAGTTTGTTTAACTTGGTTTTCAATTTCGATGGTGGCAACTCTGCTGCCGGCTCCAATCAATGGAACTATCCATCAGTGAACGATGGCCGTGTCCATCCATTCCGCTCCCCCAATCCAATTCTCCAGTCCCCCAATCTCAATCCCCCGATTCTCCACTGGAGTTTTGATGCTGGCACTGGCACGCATCAAATTCCCTGTTCCTGTTCCCAATCCTCCCTTGATTTTCTTTTACACAGCACACACACACACACACACACATGGGGAAAATCAATAAAAAAGAAAAGCTTTGTTTCGTAGCTCGAATTTTGACTTACCCTTGGGTGTTTTATTACGTCTTATCATTGAGGTTGTAAAAGTAGATATTGTTAAACAGCTTGAATGTAGGCAATGAAAAAAGCCACATTTTCATTTGACCATTGCATTCTTTTGGGCACCCGAGAAACAAGATCCTTACATCTCAAGGACCTGAAATAAATATTTTTTGATTAATTCAAATGGAACTATTATGATAAAGATACAATCAAGACTGCCTTAAACTTAAAATATAAATTAAATTAACCAATTAAGAAATAAGAACCCGAAATCCGAAGGAACTGAATAAATATAATCCTTCAAATTCTAATGATGGTTGTAATAATAATGAATATATACTCAAGATACCTCAAATTACTAATACCCTATGATATAGGGTATTCTGGGCCCAAAAAGAGCAGCTCTGAGTGTGACAGTACCACCGAGTAGGACGTTCCATAAATTCATCAGCGTCTCTAAATGGCTTAAATGTGGCTTAGATGGCCACAGCTGCAGGCTGGTTTTTGGCTGGCTGGCTCGCTGGCTGGCTGGCATTAAAACCGCAAGATGTCCTAATCCCGCCGATGGATTTACAAGGACTTAACCCCCGCCCACCGCCCACTCTCCACCTCCCCCTCCTCCACGGAATC